CTGGACGCTTGACACTGATGAAGGCTGTGCTCACATCGATACCGGTTCACTCTATGAGTACAATTATCTTACCTAAGTCCACCCTTGCTAGATTGGATCTGATATCGCGCTCCTTTTTGTGGGGCAGTAATGAGGGAGGCAGTAAACAACATCTAGTAGCATGGAAGAGAGTTTGCCGCCCGAAGTGGGAGGGAGGGTTGGGAATTCATGTAGCAAAGGAAATGAATGTTGCACTGATAGCAAAAGTGGTCTGGCATTTATTGCACGATCGAGACAGCTTATGGGCACATATATTGCATAGTAGGTATCGGGTGGGAAGCTTGGAGGATAAGACTTGTGCTATCTCGAAGTGTAACTGGTCCTCGACTTGGAAGAGTGTGATTGTTGGGTTACGGGAAGTGGTTTTCAAAGGTCAGGGATGGGTTGTTGGGGATGGGCGATCAACAAAGTTCTGGACTGATAAGTGGTTATCGAAGAAACCTTTGGTTGAGCAGCTGCATGGAGAGTTACCAGAGTTCTATGTAAGTTTGACGGTCAGAGACTTTTGGCGTGATGGTGTGGGATGGGCAATGGATCGGATTGCTCCTTTTGTATCCGAGAATACTAGACTGGAGCTCCTTTCATTAGTATTGGATAGCATCACAGGAGCGAGGGATCGTATATCCTGGTTTGTAAGTGCTGACAGAGAGTTTACGGTGAAGTCAGCGTATGCTCTGCTGACCAGAGAGGAACTTCCGAGACAAAACATGGAGGGATTCTTTCGAAGGATATGAGAAGTGGCGGCTTCAGAGAGGGTTTGTACCTTCCTCTGGATGGATGGGAATCAGGTTATTATGACAAACGCGAAGCAGAGACGGAGGCATCTCTGCGCTACAGATGTTTGTCAGGTATGTAAAGGAGGAGTGGAGACCGTTTTGCACATTCTGCGAGATTGTCCTGCTATAAGTGAGATATGGCATAGGATTGTTCCCAACAGAAGAAGGCAGGCGTTCTTTTCTGGATGTGTTCTGGAATGGCTCTATGAGAACCTTGGGGAGGACTTGTCTGTTGATGGAACCCCGTGGCCAACTATATTTACGATGACAGTGTGGTGGGCATGGAAGTGGAGGTGTGGGAATGTCTTCGGGAGAATAGAAAATGTCGTGATGGAACCCGCTTCATTAAGGAGTTGGCGAAAGAAGTGTTTACAGCTATATTGATTCATAAGGGCCAAGTATCGAAACCACAGAGATAGGAGAAGTTGATTGGGTGGAATCCTCCATCTGGGGGTTGGTATAAGTTGAACACGGATGGTGCCTCCCGTGGGAACCCTGGTCTTGCTGCCGCCGGAGGTGTACTGCGAGACGAAGCTAGAAGATGACATGGGGGTTTTGCACTTAATATAGGAAGATGTACGATGCCTTTAGCAGAGCTATGGAGAGTCTACTATGGCCTATACATTACTAGGGAGAAGCGGGTCTCGCGGCTAGAGGTGGAGTTGGATTTAGAGCTGGTGGTGGGCTTTCTCACGACGAAAATTAGTGATGTACATCCGTTGTCTTTCCTGGTGCGACTGTGTCATGACTTTCTTGTAAGGGACTGGATAATCTATTTTTTCACGTGTATAGACAAGCTAATTGTCTCGCGAATGGTTTAGCGAACTATGTATTCTTGCTTCATTCTAGTTTTCATGGGTTTGACTCTGTTCTTGCTTGTTTAGATTCTTTGTTACAAGAGGATTCGCTTGGTCATAGACATACACGAAATATTTGTATCCGTTGATGCATTCTCACTTTATTAATAAAACGGGGGAATGATTTGGTTCCTCACACTCGTACCAAAAAAAAATCAAAAAATGCAAACCGATCAAAAACCCATGTCGGTAAGAAAACCGGACATCCGGTTAGAAACCCAGCCTAATAGAACAAGTGGTCTACAATGGGCAAAAACGTAATTTCAGTCTTCGACACTCTCCGCCTCAGACTACAGAAACCGAGAAAACAAGCAGCTCAACGTCTCTGGTTTTCACTTCCAAACTCACGGCAATTTTTGTCTGCTTCTCCTATTTTATAAGAAACCCATTCGACTCACTTCACTTTCATCGAACAATCTCGACGAACACAAACAAAACACAAAACAAGATTCTTCTGAAATCTTCTGTTCTCTATCAAAAGAATGAGTTCTACGAGCAAAACATGGATGGTGGCTGCGAGCATCGGAGCCGTCGAGGCATTAAAAGACCAGTTAGGCGTTTGCCGGTGGAACTTCTTGATCCGATCGGCGAATCAGCATCTCCGCAACAACCTAAGGTCCGTTTCTCAAGCTAAGAAGCTCTCTTCTTCCTCCTTCGATTGTACGAAGAAGACGAATCAGGCTGAGGAATCTCTGACAGTCATGTATTTGAGCTGTTGGGGTCCTAATTAATGGAAACGGAGCTTTGATTTTGATCTAGCCTCGCCGAATCGGAGAAATCTGTATACCCTGATTTAGGGTTTTGATGATGGCTTGTTCGGGTTTTTGAAACCCTTTAAAAGTTCAAACGAAATGTATATAATCCGCTTTGTATAGTGACTCTTAAACTAATGAATTCATTTCATTTCATTTCCAATTTCGCCAAAAAGCTAAATTCAAATCAGATTTCTTGTTACTGCAATTAAAGTAAAAACTCTGACTTTGAATGTTTCTTTATCACAGGTTTGATTTAGTACACTCTGATCAAAGCAAAATTTAATTAAGTCTTGACCTTTACTCGATTAACTATAAGAATTTGTGATAGTTTGGTCCATATATTGGAGGGTGTTTGTTATCTAACAGTCAAAGCTTAGACTGAGTTTTACTGCATTTTAGGGATTTAGTTAATCCTTATCCCCACTTTAAATGCCTTCTGTTGCACATTCTCCACCTTAATATAGAGAGGTCTCATCAGCTATTTTCCTTACTTAGCTTCCAGTTGTTTCTTCTTTTGAGTAAATTTGATTTCTTTTTCACAAAAGATGGCTGCTCCATTGATTGTTTCCTTTGGTGAAATGCTTATTGACTTTGTCCCTGACACTTCTGGTGTTTCATTGGCTGAATCCACCGGTTTTCTCAAAGCTCCTGGTGGTGCTCCGGCTAATGTCGCCTGTGCCATCTCCAAACTCGGCGGCAAATCAGCTTTCATCGGCAAGGTTTTGTATACTTCTCATGTTACAATCTGTTCTCTCTAGATTGATTTGATGGTTTATCAGAGAGTAGTGATCTGTGTTTTGTGTGATGGTTTTTCACAGTTTGGTGATGATGAGTTCGGACACATGCTTGTGAACATCTTGAAGAAGAACGGTGTGAACAGCGAAGGAGTTTGCTTCGACACCAATGCAAGAACCGCTTTGGCCTTTGTGACATTGAAGAAGGACGGAGAAAGAGAGTTCATGTTTTACAGGAACCCTAGCGCAGATATGCTCTTGAAAGAATCTGAGCTCAACAAGGATCTCATCAAGAAAGCCAAGATCTTCCACTACGGTTCCATTAGCTTGATCTCTGAGCCCTGTAGAGCTGCTCACATGGCTGCTATGAAAACCGCTAAAGACGCGGGAGTTTTACTCTCTTATGACCCGAATGTTCGGTTGCCTCTTTGGCCTTCCACTGAAGCTGCCATAGAAGGCATTAAAAGCATCTGGAATGAAGCTGATATCATCAAGGTATATACTTTTGTAAAACCAAACTCTTGATATATTTTTCTGTTTGGATTTTGATCTTTTAGTGTGTAGGTGAGCGATGACGAGGTAACGTTCCTCACAAGGGGAGATGCGGAGAAAGATGACGTTGTTTTGTCTCTGATGCATGATAACCTCAAGCTGCTTATTGTTACTGATGGAGAGAAAGGTTGCAGATACTATACAAAGGTAACACAAAAAGGATTCAAACGCTATATTGTTTGGGCCTTTTTAGACTTTAGAGTGATCTAAACATAGTTTTTTTTTTATCAGAAATTCAAAGGGAGAGTGTCTGGATACTCTGTGAAAACAGTTGATACAACAGGAGCTGGTGATTCTTTTGTTGGTGCATTTCTTGTCGCACTCGGCAAAGATGGTTCCATACTCGATGTAAGTACAACCGAAGGCATGTTCAGGTCTTAGATTGGATCAGGCATAAAGAATTGAGTTTTTGGTGTTTGTGTAATGAATGTTGTAGGATGAAGGAAAGCTGAAGGAAGCTCTTGCATTTGCAAATGCTTGTGGAGCTGTGTGTACAACTCAGAAAGGAGCCATTCCTGCACTTCCCACTCCATCTGATGCACAGCAGCTCATGAAGTCTAAGTCCAAATAGCTTTACTTTTTTTTTTGTTCTTTCTGAAATGGTACTCAAGCTTCTTCACTGAAGTATTGACTCAGTTCAAAAAATTTGGTTTTACTCTGATAGCTGAATAATACAAGTTTCAAGTTGCTTCCTAAACTGATTCCAGTTATGATAAAGAGAGACAAAACAAATCGACTTTCTCTATTGTTTCTGTTATGAATGCTGTTTTTTAAACAAATGATCAAACCTATTCTCGGCAACACATTTTGCCATTTTTACAGAGTTTAAAGTCAGATTCTTTCGTTGATTGTATTGAGCATTTTTGGAGGAATGTACCAAAACACTTGCAAGGTTGGATCAATTCCATCAAAAAGGTATATACTTGGGGCATATTTTACAGGAAACAAAAGGAATTAATCACTGAAGTAAGTAAAGTATAGACCAAACAAGAAACATGATTAATGTCAAAATGTTAACTTCATTTATACGGTAGTAAAGATCTCTGAAACAACCCAACACAAAGGACAAGTTACCAAATAACAGAGGAGATAAACACACAAATTTTCTTAATTACAATTCCGACAAGAACTCAAACCAAAAAACTCTAAGAATCGCCAGAAACTAGACAGATGTGCACATAGATCAAACAATCAGCTTGTCAGAGAGATAGAGCTTCTCTGTGCCATGGAAGAAGGAGAAGGAGTAGTAACAAGTGCAAAGCAGAGGAGTCCTCCCCACCTGAAAGATTAGATACTTATGCTGTCTCCTTCTTTCAATCTGTTACCCTTTACGATGTCATTCCAACCACAAGTCAAAGCGTAAGTCCAACTTCCTTTGCCTGACTCTCTCTTCATCTCCCATCGTTTCAACATCACACCCCACTTTACGTTTCTTGGATCCACCAGAATCGCTCCAATTCCCATCTTCTTAACATTGTTGATGTCTTCAACCATGACTCTCAGCTCGACAGGTGTCAAGAAATCTTTGTTGATGAGCTCGTTGAAAGGCATTGAGAGGCGACTCTCTCCTGGATTGACATCTGTCATGTACAGAGTCCTCTGAAAGATGAGCCTTAAGTCGCTTCTCTCTCCCCATTTAGCCACAGATTTGCTCGTGTCCTGCATCATCTGCGTTAGCGACTCGGGAATCTCTCTTCGTATCCACGAGAAAGCTTCAATCTTTGGTTTCTTGCATTTATCATTACGGTTGGGCTCTTGCACGGCACGTCTTATTGAGATAAACATAAACATAGATTTGTTGTAATCTGTTAATATATATTCTAGCTTATCTCTATCTAGTTTAGGACTACGTACTTGTATAAATACATTACTTTGTGAATGAATACAGCAACACTTTCCAATTCCTTACATGGTATCAGAGCAAAAATGATTTTTGACCTAGTTTTTTTTTTTCAAACCTCGATTGCTTCCGCTTTCTATTTTTTTTTCTACTATTCTCTTCTCGTTGACACCATATGATGTCACACGTTTCTACTTCTACTATTTATACTTCGGGTAAAAACTCTACACCGAATTCTCCATACACCTTGCATCCTTCGGATAATCCAGGTACCTTGATCACCCCTGTTGTTCTTCGTGGAGACAACTATCCTGAATGGTCTACTGAGCTGTGGAATTCTCTACAAGCTAAACAGAAGATCGGATTTATTGATGGGTCGATTCCAAAACCGGAGTCGAATCCAGACCTTGCCCGATGGATTTCTACAAATTCTATGATCGTTGGTTGGATCCATACATCCATCGATCCTCAAGTTCGATCTACCGTTACTCACGTCCCCGATGCTCATAAACTTTGGGAATCTCTAAAGCTAAGATTCTCGGTCAAGAATGGCGTACGTAAACACATGCTTGAAGACGAAATCAACAATTGTAAACAAAACGGTCAATCCGTTTTGGAGTTCTACGGTCGCCTAACCAAGTTCTGGGAAGAGTTACAAAATTTTAAACCGCTTCTCTCTTGTACGTGCGCGGCTTCAGCAGGGCTAGAGAAAGAACGGGAGGATTCACGTGTTCACAAGTTCTTGTTTGGTCTTGACGAAGCTCGTTTCAGCATAATTCGCTCTCAGATCATTGATGAGGAGCCATTACCTGATTTAAATACAGTCTATTCTCGAGTCATACGTGCCGAACAACATCTTCTCACCATGCGTGCCAAGGAAGTCAGGCTTGAAGCTGTTGGTTTCTCCACTAAGACAGATTCTTCATCGGCTGCTGCTGCTTCGGTTCCTAAAAATCGTGATCCAAATCGTTTCTGTAGTCATTGCAACCGCAAGGGTCATGAGGTCTCAGAATGCTTCTTGTTGCATGGGTATCCAGACTGGTATAACGAACAGCAACAACAACGCTCTACTTCTGGACAAAATCAATGAGGTCGGGGTGGTCATAATAACTCTGCTGGTGGACGCGGCCGTGGACGTGCAAACACATCTCGTAGCACCAATAACACATCTTCCGACAGCAATGCGTCGTCACTTCCTGTTGATCAGATCGCGGCTCTCATCAGTTTTCTCCAAAATCAACAAACTCAGCTAACTACTGATCGTGTGTCCGGTAACATTGCACTCAATGATGTGATTATTGATACTGGTGCTTCGCACCATATGACAGGAGATTTGACTATACTCTCTGATGTCGTTGATATTGTTCCTTCGGCGGTCACGTTTCCTAATGGACGGGATTCACGGGCGACTAAGATGGGGAAACTCAAACTTAGCCCCGCTTATACTCTATTTGACGTGTTATATGTTCCGGATTTTCAATGCACTCTGATATCCGTTTCCAAACTACTTAAGCAAACTGGTTGCATTGCTATCTTCACTGATACGTTATGTGTTTTGCAGGACCGTTTTACGAGGACCCTGATTAGAGCCAGTGAAGAGAGAGAGGGGGTTTACTATTTCACGGGTGTCACAGTTGCAAAAGTTCACCAGACAAGCAAGGCGAAGACTTCTCCTTCTGTTTTATGGCATCGAAGACTTGGACGCCCTTCTTACAAAGCTTTGTCTTCTTTACCAGTTTTTGACAGTTTTAAGGTTGATTTTGACCGAACAAACTCTTGTGAAATTTGTTTTCGTGCCAAACAAACATGCGGCATCTTTTATGAGAGCATTAATAAAGCTATTGAACCTTTTGCTTTGATTCACTGTGATGTCTGGGGCCCTTACCGTACTCCATCCTCTTCTGGTGCTGTCTATTTTCTAACGATTGTTGATGACTATTCACGAGCTCTTTGGACGTTTCTTATGCTTGAAAAATCAGAGGTCTCAATGTTACTTAAGAACTTTTGTGCAATGAGTGCAAAACAGTTCGGAAAACACGTAAAGGATATAAGAAGTGATAATGGTAGCGAATTCATGGTGCTCTCCTCCTACTTTCGTGAACATGGCATTCTACATCAAACCTCTTGCGTGGACACGCCTCAACAGAATGGTCACGTCGAGCGTAAACACCGCCATATTCTCAACGTTGCTCGAGCATGTCTCTTTCAAGCTCGCCTTCCTGTTGAGTTTTGGGGTGAGAGTATCCTTACTGCTACACATATCATTAACCGTACTCCCACTTCTGTCCTTCACGGCAAGTCTCCCTATGAAGTTCTACATGGCACTCCTCCTACCTATGACACTTTACGGGTGTTTGGCTGTCTTTGTTATGCTCACCGCCGTTCTCGGGATAAAGATAAATTTGTAGATTGCAGCCGTAAGTGTCTGTTTGTTGGGTATCCTTATGGGAAGAAGGCTTGGAATCTCTATGACATTGAGAGAAACGAGTTCTTTGCTAGTCGTGATGTCGTCTTCTTTGAAGATGAGTTCCCGGGTCTTCCAAGTACCGATCATGTGACACAGCTAAATTTTCAACAAGACGTTGCAGCTGATGATTGGTTACTTCCTTCCTCTTCCGCTTACGAACAACCGAATCCCGACAGTACTCTTGCTCTTGCAGAGAGTCCTACTACTACTACGGAGAGTCCTACTACTAATCCTGTGGAGAGTCCTCCTCATACTCCTACGGTGAGCCCTACTGCTACCCCTATCAAAAGCCCTACTAATACTACTGCTCGTTTGCCTTCTCCTACTGGTTCTCCTCAATCAGAAGCTGCTACTCCTGATGCTTCTCCTCAGCCTCAGACTCTGACTACTACTTCTATAACACCAGGACACTCACCAGAGGATTACGTTGATTCCTCACCAGGGTTACCTGAATTACTTGGCAAAGGCTTACGTGAACGTCAACCCTCTGTCCTTTTGCGAGATTTTGTCGTTGGTACTTCGCAGCTAGTGCACACCCCCTCTCTTCCTTCACTACCCTCTAATCTTGCGTCTTCTAATCCGGTCTCAGGTAAAACACCATATCCTATCTCTACATATCTTTCTGATGCTACTTTCTCCTCTGGTCACAAAGCCTTCTTAGCAGCTTTAACATCCAACGTTGAACCACGAAGTTATAAAGAAGCAAGTCTTTCTGACGTTTGGAATGGTTCAATGAAAGACGAAGTTACAGCTCTCGAGCTTAACAAGACTTATTTGATAACGACTCTCCCTCCGGGAAAGACAGCCATTGGTAGTAAATGGGTGTACCGAATTAAGTATCATTCCAATGGCCAGATCGCTCGTTACAAGTCTCGTCTGGTAGCTTTGGGAAATCGAAAACGAGAAGGGTTAGACTATACAGATACATTTGCACCAGTTGCCAAACAATCTACTGTGCGACTTCTTCTTGAAATCGTTGCTGCCAAGAAATGAGAAGTACATCAAATGGATGTCCACAATGCCTTTCTACATAGTGATCTTCATGAAGAGGTGTACATGAAGTTACCGCCCGGATTTGAAGGATCGGACCCAAAGAAAGTTTGCCTTCTAAAGAAATCTATTTACGGTCTCAAACAGGCTCCTCGGTGTTGGTTTGCTAAGCTAAGCACGGCATTAAAATCATACGGTTTCACTCAGAGTAAAGCAGACTCCTCTCATTTCTCCTACATACGAGACAAGATTTGCCTACACATTCTCATCTATGTAGACGATTTCATAATTACTGGGAATGATCTTTCTACAATGCAAAAGTTCAAGAATTACTTAAGCCAATGTTTTCATATGAAGGATTTGGGGAAGCTTAAGTATTTGCTTGGCATTGAAGTAGCTCGTAACAATGATGGCATTTTTCTTTCCCAACGGAAGTATGCTCTTGATATAGTTGCAGAGGCTGGGCTACTTGGCGCAAAACCAATATCCGTTCCTATCGAGCTTAATCACAAGCTTTCGCTAGCTACAGGCCAACCTTTGGATAATCCAGAAGAATATCGACGACTTGTTGGGAGACTCATTTATCTCACGTTTACCAGACCGGAGCTTTGTTATAGTGTTCATATTCTATCTCAGTTTATGAAGGCTCCTCTTTCTGCTCATTGGGAGGCTGCTTTGCGTGTGGTTCGGTATCTCAAAAGATCTGCGGGTCAAGGTATACTTCTTCGTTCTGACTCTGATCTTCGCATCAAAGCATATTGTGACTCGGATTGGGGCGCTTGTCCGTTGACTAGACGCTCTTTAAGTGCTTACATCGTTCTTCTTGGTAACTCGCCCATTTCCTGGAAGACAAAGAAGCAAGACACAGTTTCTATGTCTTCAGCCGAGGCGGAATACAGGTCTATGTCTTATGCTTTACGTGAGCTGAAATGGATAAAGCAATTGCTCCTTTCTTTTGGCGTTACTCATGACGTGCCGATGAAGCTGTTCTGTGATAGTCAATCTGCTCTCTACATTGCTGCTAATCCTGTTTTCCACGAACGCACTAAACATATCGAATCCGACTGTCATGCTGTCCGTGATGCTGTTCAAGATAAACTCATTACTACAGAGCACATCTCCACGAAAGAGCAACCTGCTGATCTTCTTACAAAATCTGTACCCTCTCCAACATTTGCTTATCTTCTGTCCAAGTTGGGGATTCAAGATATCTCTCCTCCGCCAACTTGAGGGAGGGTATTGAGATAAACATAAACATAGATTTGTTGTAATATGTTAATATATATTCTAGCTTATCTCTATCTAGTTTAGGACTACATACTTGTATAAATACATTACTTTGTGAATGAATACAGCAACACTTTCCAATTT